GCGTGGTTCACAGCAATATTGCCAATGAAGACCGGGAGGGTCACAGTAGCTTCCGGTGCCTTCAGAGAGACCTGGACAGGATTGAGGTGGGGCATGAGGGGCCAGGGCCAAGGCCACTAGGCCTCAGGCCACCCAGCCCCCACCAGCACCAAACCTGTAAGTAGTAGTCGATGTGGATGAGGCTGCAGCCTGGCAGGGCCGACTGGGGCAAAGCAGGCACCAGGATCTGCTCATGCCACTGTGCCCGCCGCCAGGCCTTGACGCCTGCACCCTCCACCTCCGCAATGGTCCGTACGTCGTGGATCCAGCGCTTGGCCTTATAGGACACTTTCTGGGGAAGGACCAGCCTGTGAGCCTGCGCAGGCTGCCAGCCCACCCCAGGAGGCCAGTCCGGGCAACTGCCGGGGGCTCTGACCTGCAGCAGACTGGCCACCACAGGGCTGGTGTCCTTGCCTGACTGGTTCTCAATGTCGGCGTGCAGCTGCAGTGCCTGCCCCACCACATAGCCGCGGAGATCAGTGCTGGCTGTGAGGACCACGCTGCCTGTCTTCACCAGCTTGTAGGAGAACTTCTTGGTGGCAGAGGCCACATTGGGTTGCTTTGGGGGAGGGCCAGGGAGAGGCTTAGCAGGTGTGGGCAGGCTGGATCCCTGTGGCATCAGGACAAGCCCCTCAGCCCTGCCACGCCCTGCCCCTGGAGACCAGCAGTCAGCTCAGGGCAAAGAGGCCACTGCCTCCAGACCCTGGCCCCCCTCACCTCAGCTGGGGACAGGACACTGGGATGAAGCAGTGCCTGCCCGGCTCTTCCCTAGCCCCCACGAGGGTGGGGACCCACCAAGGAGGTCACTGTGCCATCCTCACCTCAATGTCTGGGATGCTGTTCAGATTCAGGGGGCTCAAGATATAGAACACGAGGCTGCACTTGTGATCCTTGGAAAACCGTGGCGTGTGGATGGCGGCCCTCACCTGGTGCACGATCTTCCCAAAAGGACCCTCAAAGGATGTGGGTGCTGTGGCTGGGGAGAGAACAGGCACTGGCACCTGGCTGCCTTCACCCTGCAGAGCCCACCTCCCAGGACCAGTTGGTCATCACCAGGCCCGTTCAGGCTGGGCTCTTACCAGGAAGCAGGAACTGGAAGGGGAAGCTGTGCTCACCAGCGGGCAGACTCCCTGCAGAGACAGGAGGGAGGTGGGGGGCGGTGGGGACAGGCCTCCGGAGGCCTGAGGTGGCCACAGGGCCAAGATAAGAGTGGGACTGCAGCTGACCAGCTCACACGGGGTCTCCCTGTCTCAGTCACCAGCAGCACAGGGCTGTGGCCTGGGTGAAGGACTGAGGGTAAGGGCTGGAATAGGAGAGTGGTTTGGGAATGGGGCAAGGGTGAAACAGCTGTGCCAAGAGTCAGAGCCCACCCACATCCAGCACAAGTGGAAGGTGGCCCCTTCAGCCACCCAGCCCCTATGAGAAACCCATCAGGGCCCACAACCCTGGGAGAAGATGGGCCAATGCAGGATCCAAGAGGCAGGTCTAGGAAAGGGGGAGGACAGGCAGGCCCCACTCCAAGGGGTGCCCCCAGGGGTCACCACTTGGGACCAGGTCAGGAACTGGCTCCCAGACTTACCCTTGTCTGCCAGCGACAGGGAACTGTTGAAGTAGTCCTCCTCCGCTACCCACGCTGCGTCGTTAGCCTTGTTGGAGACCCCGCAGGAACCCGTGCAGGTCACCCGGATGGCTGCCAAGGGGAAGGCTGCATGAGCCCCAGCCAGCCGACGGCCCAGGAATTCGACCTGGGGCCAAGCAGCCCCACCTGGGCAGGGTCCTGGGAAGGCCAGTGAGCAAGCAGCCCCTGCCACTTCAGGGGACACCTCCTGCCCGTCTCCTGTCTTGGGGGGCTCCAAGGGAGCCGGGCTGGCGAGGGGCCCGACCAGCACAAAACAATGTCTGCCCTACAGCCCAGAGCAGAAAGGCCCCAGCGCTCATCCAGACAGCAGCTGGGTCGTCCCCCAGACTGGTAACCTGGCTGTGAAAGCCCAGCTGCTTACGGGGATCTTGGGGGCGGGGGTGGCGCGCCTAGGGGTGTCGGGGGGGTGTCTGGGACACTCCAAGGGACGGACACATCTTCTTGCTGCCCTGTAGACAAGTCAGTTAGGCAGGGAAGGACCCCTCCACGCTCCAGGAAGCTAAAGCTAACTGGCAACCATCATGCTGCAGGAATGTGGCCAGACCCGCCTGGGCAGACAGTGTTCCACAGTCGGCACACCGCTGGGTAGGGCCCTACTTCCTGGGCCAGCACTGCCCAGCGGGGCTGACTTTCTGCATCGGGAGACGGCTTGGTTCTCTCTGGCCTCCCCGGGGGAGTGCCAGACCAGGAACTGCTTGAGGCAGAGGTTGCCACTGTTCTGTGGCCAGGAACACAAATTCCTCAGTCCAACAGATGTGTGTCCAGAAACCACGATGGTCAGAAGATCATGGCTGGACAACCAGGTCCAGCAGAAACTGGTCACAAGGGAGGACAGACGCAGCAAAAGCACACACAGCACCAGACCCAGGTGGGCAGGGGTTGGGGGAGCCATCAGCAGGCCACCCGCAGCTCCAGCCCCTCTTCTCCCTGCAAGGCTGAGTCAGGGCCAAAGATGGCCACTTCCCTGCCTCGTCCTGGTGGGGGTCACGTGAGGGGAAGGTGACTCAGACTCTCAGACCTGCTGAGGGAGCAGCCAGGGAGGAGGAGTATCGGTGTCCGGTGTGCCCAGGGCCAGCCATACCTGCCTCCCCTATGGTCTCCCCAGCAGGCCCCACCTGTGGCCCAGGCCTTCTGCCGGCCACCGAGAGCAGCAGGGTTCTTCTCAAAATCCTTGGCCCAACCGCAGCCCCACGTGGCTCTCCATACACATCCTGCCCTTCCCCTCAGCAGCTGCCAGACCCAGTCCCCCATCCCTGAGGGAGGCCCTTGCTTCCTGCTACACGTCCTCTAGCCCCTGGGCACTGCCATGGCCTGGCCTCAGCCTCCATTCCAGCCCAGCCTTGCCACCCCAACCTCGGTCCATTTTTTGTTTTCGTTTTTTTTTTTTTTTCTGAGACACGGTCTCACTCCCGCCGCCCAGGCTAATGTGCAATGGCACGATCTCAGCTCACTGCAGCCTCAACCTCCTGTGCTCAAGCGATCCACCCATCTCAGCCCCCTCGAGTAGCTGGGACTACAGGCACATGCCACCACACCTGGCTTTTTTTTTTTTTTTAATAGGGTTTCGCCATGCTGTCCAGGCTGGTCTCAAACTCCTGAGCTCAAGCAATCCACCTGCCTCAAACTCCCAAAGTACTGGGATTACAGGCATGAGCCACCATACCCAGCTCTGCCCTGATTTTGAATCCATGCTGTGTTAGCCAGGCCCTCCTAGGGCCAGACCCTTACTGTTTCCAGGCTGAACATCTGGAATATTGGTGATTCTCCTGTGAGCCA